AAACGCTTTCCGTTGCGCCATAACGCTGGCCATGACCTCGAGTCGATCTTTTGGATCGCTATCTTCCTGTTATACAACTCCGTGGTGGACGACGAGGACCCCGGGGAACACGCCGTGGAGCAAAGGAAGAGACGAGATGAAATCTTCGACTCTGAATACCGCAAGGTAGTCTTCGGTGCAGGTGACGAGCTGTACCAAGACATGACTGAACATTTCGACGGCCCTATTCTCAAAGCAATCGACTATGTGTGGGACATGCAGCAATCCCTGATAGCCGCGTACAAGACATTTGAAGCAGCCCTGAGCGACAAGGATCGGGGGAAGGAACGCAATACAGAATTTCTTGAGGTACACGACGAGTTTGGGAAAAAATTGATAGAAATGAGCGATCTTTTCAAGGGGAAGAAGTGCGAAAGAGTGGACGATATTCTGCGGGCGAACCGACGCAAGCTCAAGGCGACGGAATTGGCCCAGGACGTAGGTAGTTAGTCCAGGTGACTTATGACACACTTGAGCCACTTTATGCAATTCTCTGTATCGACCAAATAGGATATCTCGAATCAGGATGCCCTACCTACAATTGTAGTGAAATCGAGGACCAGTTAACAATCCACCCCACCTTCTGAAAGGATGTTGGGTGGAGTGAGCCAGGGTTATGGTATATCAACCTAGCCCAGTGACGAACAGACGGCGAGATGTTGTCTTTTGACACCTTGACGTAGTGAACACCTTTTACAGTAGGCGTGCCGGTCAAAAAGGTGTCTGTAGCAAGTCGGGCAGGCATGGTGAATATGGCGGTGAGAGAGTACATAACGAGAAGGCGCCGGCAAGCGGCCGCAGTGCTTCGGGACGCGTCCTTCTCGTGTCCTTCACGTGTTCGTCCTCGCCCAGACCTCTGCCCATTGATATTGTTCGTCTCAAGACCATTTCACTCCTCCAATGTCCAGCGCTCTTCTCGGATGGACAAAAGGCGGTAATTGAACACATATCAGCGCACGGATTGCTATTCTAAACGGCTTGAAACTGGACGACATTGACGTATTGTGCTTGCCGGAGGTTACGCGCGGTCAGAAGACATCTTTTGTGCATCGACAAGCCTTTTGTTCCTACCGGGTCGAAGGCTCGCCAGAAGACGGGTGCCAGCGGAGGGTGCCAGCGGACTACGGGATATATAAACGCATCGAATAATGGTGAGTTGTCCCTGTCCTTACCACTTCTGTTTCCCTCGACATGGCTCATAATCCAAAGACACCCCCTCGTCAAAACACCGCCCTTTCCCAGGCACCTAGCACCACACCGGCCAAGGCGAAGACCACCGCGGGCTCCACATTCAACACGTCAAAACTTGAAGGCAAGCGAAATGTCATGTTTGAGTCGACCCGTCTCCTCCTTATTCCGAACGAACGTATGGAAGCGATCTTACCCTTGCCCGAATGGGTCGCGGCATGCGTAGAGCAGCTGTCGGATAGCCATCCAGTTTTCACAGGGAAGGAATGGGATGACCTTCCACACCTCACCACGAAAGATCAAACGTCGACCCTTGTGGGCAAGGAAGATGAAGTCTTCCAAGCTTACCGCCCTCTCCACGAATTGATCGTCAAGACCTGTGGGAGTTGGCCAGGAAGCTCAGAGGCGCGACCTGTTTTGCTCCGGCCGAAAAATACGCCCAAGTCCACCCTGAAGGAAAATTCAAGCAGGCCAGATGGAGCGAATCCAAAGGACAGTTCCCTGAAGATCGAATGGGACAAGGAGCGGTACGTGTGGGTCGACCTGTTTTCGGCGTACGAGTTCAAGAATGCGAACGAGAAGAATCTGGTTGGTCTCATGGGTATCCAGGTGCGCCGAACTGATGCGTTCACACCGTTTTCCTAACGTTTGACATTTTGCCCAGAACACCAAGCAAATCATCTGGGACCTGCAACATATGTTGTGGGAGAATATCAATCGCCGGTTCGCGGTCGGTATGACCATAGAGGAGACAGAGGCACGTCTGTGGGTAGCGACTCGCTCCGCGATACTCGTCAGCACGGGGTTTGACACGCAGACGGTGCGTACTTGTCGCACAGCGCGTGAATGTAACATTGATCGCAAATACAGGAGCGCAAACGCCTATTCCGGACATTTGCCTTCTTTGCGTTCGCGGATCAGACCGCACTCGGTCTGGACCCAACAATGAGAATGCCGAAAGGCGCAGACTTCTTCCTCGTCAACATTGACGGGAAGCGGTATCAAGTTCGGAAAAGGCCAATCGCGGATCACCGAGCGCGCGCGCTGCACGGGAGTGCGTGTCGTGTCTATGAAGCATGGCTCGTCAATGACGACGCCAATCGGCTGCCAAAAACCGATGTCGCAGATCTGAAGCGGGCGAAGAGGGTAGCGATCAAAGAGGTTTGGCGGGACGAGTATCGGGAGCCTGAACGGAAGATCTACGATCGGGTGATGAAGGCGATCAAGGAGATCGAGAAGAGGAGCCCCGAAAAATTGAATCTGCGCCCTGGCGACAAGGCTGAGGATTACTTCGTCAACATCAGCGGTGATGAAGAAGTGATGGTCAATGGAGTCCGCGATGGTACAGCAGGAATCATGGCCGGTAAAGAGTTTCCGAAAGGAGCAGCTTGGATCAAGACGTCACTTGGTATGCAGACTGGAAGGGACGACAGGATCGGAGTGTACAGTCCCAGTATGCTGAACTCCGAGGGGGGCGAAGGCAGGAAGGAAATCTCGTTGAAAGCCAAGAGCGGGGAACTTGTACCCTCTCCGCCCTCTCCGCACACTCTGCCCCAAATTCACCACCGTGTCCATTATCGAACCGTGATGGACAACATTGGAGAACCGTTGCACCACATCGCGAGGTTAGATGTCGCATTTAAAGCGCTAGCTGATGTCGTCCAGGGTCGGTGTCGTCTTTGCAGGATTGCTTGATTTGTGGCTGAGATGCTTTGCAGCATGCAAAATAATGTGCATTGCCGGGTTCAACCATCGTGATCTATCTCCAGGCAATATCATTGTTGACGAGAAGAACGAACGAGGGCGGCTCAGTGATCTGGAATTTGCGAAGATTCATATGAGTGACGGAGCGGGGCACCATGTGCGGACTGTACGTGCCGTTCGCAGCGTCTTTATGCATCAGTCTTGTTAATCACTGCACAATCCAGGGAACTCCCGATTTCATGGCGGCGGAGGTGCTCACTGGCTTTTATCTTTTCCGACCCTTACAAAAAAGGCGCAAACGCTTTCCGTTGCGCCATAACGCTGGCCATGACCTCGAGTCGATCTTTTGGATCGCTATCTTCCTGTTATACAACTCCGTGGTGGACGACGAGGACCCCGGGGAACACGCCGTGGAGCAAAGGAAGAGACGAGATGAAATCTTCGACTCTGAATACCGCAAGGTAGTCTTCGGTGCAGGTGACGAGCTGTACCAAGACATGACTGAACATTTCGACGGCCCTATTCTCAAAGCAATCGACTATGTGTGGGACATGCAGCAATCCCTGATAGCCGCGTACAAGACATTTGAAGCAGCCCTGAGCGACAAGGATCGGGGGAAGGAACGCAATACAGAATTTCTTGAGGTACACGACGAGTTTGGGAAAAAATTGATAGAAATGAGCGATCTTTTCAAGGGGAAGAAGTGCGAAAGAGTGGACGATATTCTGCGGGCGAACCGACGCAAGCTCAAGGCGACGGAATTGGCCCAGGACGTAGGTAGTTAGTCCAGGTGACTTATGACACACTTGAGCCACTTTATGCAATTCTCTGTATCGACCAAATAGGATATCTCGAATCAGGATGCCCTACCTACAATTGTAGTGAAATCGAGGACCAGTTAACAATCCACCCCACCTTCTGAAAGGATGTTGGGTGGAGTGAGCCAGGGTTATGGTATATCAACCTAGCCCAGTGACGAACAGACGGCGAGATGTTGTCTTTTGACACCTTGACGTAGTGAACACCTTTTACAGTAGGCGTGCCGGTCAAAAAGGTGTCTGTAGCAAGTCGGGCAGGCATGGTGAATATGGCGGTG